GTTCAGGGCTGGATTTGCACATCGAGGCTTTATCGCTTCTGGGGCCCTGGAGAGAACACGGCCCCTCCAGAGAGCCATGAATCATAAACACACAGTGCTCAAGAACACAGCCTGGGATTTGAGTTGAGGGCTTGCCTGTGGATATTTGGTGAAGCCTAAGAAGCTCTGCTTCCAGCACCCTTAGACAGTAGCTGCCTCAATAATTAATTGAGTGCTCAAAGGCTTTTCCCTTTTTTTTACTGTTGCCTGTCTGAATACACCACTGGGCAGAGAATGGGCCCACTCCCCTTGCAGAGCTTCCTCAGGCCATGCAGGCCAAGGCAGAGCTTTGCAGGGCATTGATTCATAACTGCTGATGGCCCCAACAGCTTGATCAACACACTGAAAGACAGCAAGTGTCAGAACTGCTCTCCTCCTGCCTCTGCAGGGAGAGGGGGAGAAGGAACCCCGGGACTGGGAGGTCAGGACTGGTCACCAGGAGTTAATGCAGGACAAAGCTGTAGGAAGCAGCCCCTGCCTGCAGGTTCCTGTGTGCTTCCCAGCAGCATTCCTCTTTGGTGGAGCCTGATTGCTGATTAAGGCCACGCTGATGAGTTCATTAGCAGAGGAATCTGGAGAGATATTTTCTCTGGGGGTGTGAGGTTGGTCCCATTGTGAAATTCTTCCTCAGCAGCAGCTGTCTGAGATGCAGAAACAAAGAGCAGAGCCTCCCTTGAGGCCACTGGCTGGAGCAGGGACAGGAACACGATCTGGGGTCCAAGAAACCGAAACTCTGGGTGGGACTCTGCACTGGAGAGCCACTTCATGTGTGTGTGTGGTGTAGACATGCAGCCCAGCACTGTGCACCTGGGGAGAGGGGGACATCCACGGCTGCCTGGACACATCCACAGTCATCCCTTTTTAATTTTGCACCCAGATGTGGTTGAGCTGGAATGTGAGGTGGATCTGGAGAACTGTACTCTTTGGGGCTGGTCCTGTTGTGAAACTCCTTTGGGTCCTAACAGCCAAATCTGAAATGTTGATACTTCTGTATCGCCCAGCACATCTCAGGTAAAGCTTCAGGGGAAGAAGGCTCTGCTCAGACAGGCCCTAGGACTGCAGCCTGTAGTGTAGGCAGCTCTTGCCCTCAGGAGCTGAGATGGGAGAAGAAAGAGCTCTCAGTCAAGTGAAAGCTGTGATTTGTGTTTTAATGCCTGGGCATTGCTGCCCTTGCTGCTTAACAGAGGAGTAGCACTGGTGGAGTGTGCAAGGGCTGATGTTACCTCAGAGTTGTGATCACCCCAGGAGAGCCTGTATGGCACCTGCCTGTGCTGCAGACTGAGTCCAGGTGAGGGATAACTAACTCTGACCTGCTGCAGAGATGGTGGATCTGGCTGATGGTGGAGCTGTGCTGGATTTGGCAGAAGTGCAGAGTGGTGGCCAGGCAGCAGTTGGGGCTCCCTTTAGCTCTGCCCACGTTGCAGGAATGCTGAGCTGTGGAGTGAAGCCAGTGAGCAGGGGGAGAGGCAGTGCTTTAGCCCTCCTGCCAACTGCCACTTGCATTGCTCACATCCTGCACTTTCATTGGGCTCTCCTTTTTTATGTCTTTTTCCATCCCTTTCCTAGAGCTGTGAGGGGTTTTGAGCATCGGGCCCTGGCACAGGCCGTGGTGCTGCCTGGCTGTGTGTGCTGGTGGCAGCAGGAGCTGCCTCAGGTGCCTCAGCTGACCCTCCTGTGTCCCCACACACTGGCAGGGGCACCACCAAGGGGATTTTTGCTCATTGTGCAGCCAGCAAATGCCTGGAGATGAGGGCAGCGGGAGGAAATCTCACGGCATGTCAGGGCCAGGAGAGCACCCCCGGAACAGAGGCACCTTTTTCTCTTGGTCTTTGGATTTTAGACTCTGCCTTATTAGGCAGAAGCTGTGTTCTGTTCCTGCCATCTGGGTCAGGGTGGGGGAACGCTGAACTCAGCCCAAATCTGGCAGTGTCTGTCTGTGGCTTCCCCCCCTCCCCAAAGGAAAACACTCCTGAAGGAAAGGCACCATCGGAATACTTCATCTTGGAAAAAAACAATCAAAGGGGCTAGGGGAAAACAAACTTATCACAAGTGAAACAAACTCAGCCTGGACTACAAGGAGGGCCCAGGGTAAAGGCCAGACTGAAAAAAGAGTCGTTTCCACTGAAATGGAAATGTGAGTCTTGTGTCCTGGATCTGCTGGGACTAAGGGGGGATTTTGAGGCACAGAAACTTTTGTGGGAGAGCCTAAACTGGATGTTGTTGTTGGGCAAAGAGTGCAGAGGGAGCTTCAGGGGGCAGGAGAAGGCTCCCCTTGCAAGTGCAGCTCTGGACTGGGAGGGATGATGTTCCTCTGGAGGGGCTTGGAGTGCCAGGGATGTCCTGGAGGGGAGCAGCGCTCTGCAGAGCTTCACTGGCTTTGCACTTTTTGTGTGTTTATCTTTGGATTTAGGTGTATGTGAGCCACAAATCCAGCCAGAGTCTGAAGCCTGGTGTGGGAGAGGGGTGTGTTGTGCCCTCAGAGCCCAGGGTGTGCAATGTGCAGATCCTTCCCCTGCCACAGGAGAGAGCAGAGAAGTTGGCCCTTAAAGTAGCTTTCTAAAAGCTATTTTCGAGTCTTGAAGAAACGAAAAGAGAAATAATAACCCATAGGCTGGCTTTCCTACATCCTGCAGTCAGCTCCAGCAGCTCCCAGAGTGCTTGTCTGCTTATCTGTGCTGGAACAAATGCTTCCCTCACCCCTTTGCCTGCTCCCTGTGTCCCTGGTGCAGCAGGAGAACAACCAGCCTGGTAGGGGAACAGCACGTGGGAAAAGGAGGCAGTGCTGTTCCCAAACCAGAGATGGAGCAGGGAGGCTTCTTCTCTGGAGACTTCAACTTTGTTTATTCAGACAAATCTGGATTCCAGTAGCTGCAGCTGGTTTTGGGAGCAGAACAGCAAGAGCCCTCGCAGCCTCCAGCCGCTGGAGGTGGTTAGAAAAGGAAAGGCCTCACTGCAAGGGCTCCCTGCTGCTCTCCTTCCATCCCCAGGCCCGTGGTGGCTCTGGATCCACAACTGGGCTTTGTGTGACAAGAGGGTGTTTGTCATCTTCCCCAGTCTGGCAGTGCTGGGGAGGGAGCTCACTGGAGGGGCTGGCAGCTGGCTGGGAGATCAGGGAGTGCTGCCGCCGCCCTTCTCCTGGTCCCTTGGCAGCAGACAAGTCCCTGGAGCTCCGTGCAGGAACATTTCCTTACCTTGGGGAGAGAAGCTTGCAGAGAGCATGGGGAACCTGAGGAGCTTCAGGATTAGCTGGATCACTGCAGTGTTTGGGGACAATCGTGCCGTGCCACCTGCCAGCTGTGAGCTGGGAATCGTTGCTGGGAGGGCTCAGCCCAGGCCCAGGTTGAGCGAGGGAATTTAAAAGGGAATGCTGCTCTGACCCCTTGGCTGCCTTCATTGCAGGTCCTTGGGAGCTCAGGCAAACTCTACACCTGCTACAGCTCCTGCCACTTCTGCACATGTCCTGCCTTTGGGTTCTCGGTGCTGCAGAAGAGCGAGAGCCTCCTGGTGAGTTCTGGGGCTGGGACAGGGGGCAGGGGGGAGGGCTGTGCTCTGATCCCACATGGAATCTGGCTGAGGGAGGGCTGTGCTCTGATCCCACGTGGAATCTGGCTGAGGGAGGGCTGCAGCTCACCTGGTGCCAGTGGGGAAGGGCTCAGCTGGCTGCAGCTGAGGGGAGGGTGTCAGGAGCCAGAGCAGATTTCTGTGTGTCACATCCCTGGGTTACTTTATCCTGGTGGCAGGACTGGGGCAAACAGAGCACCACCTGTGCCAGGGCTTGGCATGCCAGGAGGGAACTGTGTGGTTTATTAGACCCGTCCTGGGCGGGATGGGCCAGACAGAGCACGACATTCCTGTTACCTTTGCAGTGCAAACACATTCTCGCCGTGTACCTCAGCCAGGCCATGGGAGCCTGCCAGGAACTCACTGTCTCTGAGGAGCAGCTCACAAGCATCTTGCTGGCTGAGGAAGAGGAGGAGGGATGAAGGATTTGGGTCACCTGGGGATGTACTTTCTGTGTACCCTCCTGGCAGTGTATTTTTCATATCTGCAAGGCTGTCAAATTCTCACGGTGGCTGGCAGGTTTCTTACTGTGCTGCAGCCAAGCGTGACATTAATTAGCAGCTTTGCACTGATAAATTAATTAATAAATGTTAAGAAGCCTGCGTTGACTTCTGTTTCATTAATTAGGCTGTTCTTGGGATTTCTGAAGATGTTTTAACTAATCGGCAATATCGTGTGCTTGTGATGTGGGGATGCAAACGCTCCAGCAGGTCTCTTGGTGATCCACTAATTAAGGAGCTCCTTTGGCTCTTTGCAGGTGGCTGCTCAGAGCAATTTCTGATCCATCACTGTCAAACCTGTACCAGGGACTAGGGCAGGGGGCCCCCAGCACCTCGAGACTGATGACAGGTCTGTGCTTCTGCTGTAACACAGGATCTTTGGAAGCACCACCCCAGTTGCTGGGCTTTAAATTGACCCTTTTCAGACAAGTTGCAAGGTGGGCAAGGCAAGGCTCTCCGAGCCAGGCACGGGGGGAAGGACACTGCTGCTTCCCCATCCACACACCAGCCACTGAGCTGGGAACCAGCTCCTTCCAGCTCTGGCTCCCTGCCCACGCCGTGTCCTCCTCGAGGGCAGTGTGGCCTCCTCTGAGACACCGTGTGAACCCCTCACCACGAGAAATAACGGGGCACAGGCTGAGCCAGGGTGTGTGGGTGGTAAATTAAGCATTCTGTATGTAAATAACAGTTACTGCAAATACAAAATCTGAGCAACATGAGGAAAAACACATCCATCTATGTACATCAGAGCAGTGAGGAGTGACAGCTGAATGGCTTCAGCTGCGCTCGCTACAGAAAGTTCCTCGGCCGTTTTTACTTCACATTTTTGTAGAAACCTTCAGAGCTTTTTTATTTTGAGGGGGGGCAAGGGAAGTGTCCTATTTTTATTTTGCCTTGAAATGTCTTTGGCTCAGATCCACAAAGGCACTCTGCTGTGCCTCGTGACCGTGGTGACCTGGGCCACAGTTACTGCCTGACACCCCGACGGCACAGTCGTACTACGGATACACCTCATCCATCTGCAGGAATTCAGGCTCATGAGAGGCAGAGGAAGGTGGCAGTCGTGGATGCTGAGCTGCAGTGCAAGCTGTCACATACAACCAGTGTCCTGGGGCCTCCTCTTTCGGTTTTAGAGCACTCTTGAGTTTCAGTCTGTTGGTGCTGTCCAGAGTTTGGTTCTTTTTCAGCCAGCAGAAGGGAGAGATGACATCCTTTGTTGTGAGAAGAAATGTGGTTGCAACCACTTTGCAACACTGCCAGACCTGCAGGTGAAACCCTGCTTGTTTCCAGCCATGATTAACAGAAGGAACACAGCCAAAGATAATACAGAAGGGAAGGAATGAGCGGAGGAGAGAGTCAGCCCCTGCCCAAATGGCAGGAGGTGGCTACATGTGTCAGCTGGACTGTGACCAAGGCAGATGCAGCAAAGCTGAATGGGGCTGTTAAAGGAAAAGCACTTGGGACAGTAACTTTAACTGTTCAGATTCTTCTTGGAAATGCACATGAGATACTGAGCTGTAGCTAAATTTGGACACTGCATAAACATGCACAAACCCATTCAGAGTTACTGGTGATTCACCCAGGTTTGGGGTTGGCTCTCAGGGCTGAGCTGCTACACAAGGTAGTGAAATCCATCACTCTCAGGGAACCATTCCCTGTGCATGGTGGGCCCTAAGTCATTCCTGCAGCTGCTGCCTGCAGGTCTTGCCAGCTGGCAGAGCAGATGCTGCAGGAACAAGATTTCTTCACATCAGCTTTTCAACTGATTTTACACCGTATTTGTCATTATATATGCCAGAGAAATTAAATTCTTGGGGTCTTGTATTAACCCCCTTTTAGTGCAACACAGTTTTAAAAAAAAATACATGATTCAAGTACAATTTTCCAGGGACAAACTGCTCATCACGCATCACAGTCTGTCCACTGGACCTGTTCTTCAGGAACTGGCTGTGTTCAAACTTCCTTCCCTGCAGCCTGGCCCCAGAAGTCCTGCTGCCTCTGTCCCCCTGCCTGAGTTACTGCTGACAACCATTTACCAGCAGTCCCTGCGCTCCAGCTCCTCACCAGTTGCGTGGTGGTGCTGCTGGCACCGAGTGCTCCGGAGGGAGATGGAACCTTCAGGCAGGATTCCCATCTGTGAGAGGGCCACGATGCGATGGCAGGTCTGAGCTGGTCAGGGGCAGCTGCATCTCTGTACCACCATCAGCTTGTTCTTCAGAAATTACTGCTCTGCTCTCCCTGCCTTTGTCTCGTTTTGGGTATCACCGCTGCACGTTAAACTGGTGCAGTAATTACTGAGCTGTGGTTGCAGAGGGTTATTAACCTGCACTATAATTAAGACTGCTCTGCTGATGAGTGGGCTTGGGGCTCACTCAGAGTGAGGGCCAGGACACGTGGCCAACTACAGAGGCCAGGCTAGACAACCTGTGAGAGCTTTGCCAAAATCAGGTCACAGGCCACGGCAATCTTGCTTCTCACACACATTAGCACTTTAGCTCCCTTCCTGTCTCTTTTTGCTACTGATGCAGGTCAGCATTGGAAAAAATAAAAATATAAAAATTATTGTAAAAAAAAATGTTTTTTAAAAAAAAAATTAAAAAAAAAAAAGCGCATTCACAGCCTCAGGGGGTTACAGGGCTGCAGAGGAACCCTAGCCAGATCAAGCTGTAGGGACCAGGTGAGCTGCACATGCAGCTCTCACAGCTAAAACCCGCACTTCTGGAAGCACTGCAAGGATGGCAAGTCTTGATTTGGGAGCAAAAATCTGATTGTGGAGCTCAGTCCGAGTGGCACTGCCCTCAGTGACTCCGGATCAGACCAGGCAAGATCACTGGGGCACCTCTCCCTTTTGACATCCAAAAACAGACCTGAAAGCAAACCTGCAGCTTTGGGCTGCACAGTCCTGTAGACCAAAGTGATTTAAAGGCCATGGGACTGCTGTTGTAAAACCTTGGTCAACTCTTTTTCTCAACAACTCCAAGTAGGGTTTTCATGCTGGGGCCAGAAATAGCTGGCCAGTTCTGATCTGGTTTTCCCATCCACACAGTCCCTCCCCTCAGAGCCTGGAACAGATTCCATTTCACACCAGCAACTGGGCTAAGTAAGACTTTTTCCCATCGGAGAATACGAGCTGCATCAAACAATTGATGGAATAATTAGGGTATTACCAAAGAGCTGTCAAGTATGGACTTGGAGAACAACTCAAAAACAGACCGCAAAATTATTACTCCTAAATGAATCAAAAATATTAAAAAAATAATAATAATAATAATAATAATAATAATTAAAATAAAGATCCTATGACTTGAACATGAGCAGCACAATTAGGGGAAACACCCCCAGCAGGTGATTCTTCCCCAGTCAACGTCCGACCTGGAAGGGAAACGCGACGCCATCAGCGGCACTCACACCCTGGAGGGGGTGGTGGAGGGTGAGCTGCACTCAGTGTCCCCCCATCAGGTCACTCCTCCACCAGGCACTGTGTTAATTACAAAAATCAAATTAAAAAAGCACAGCTGCACAGTGGTCATGTCTGAGCACCCCCTCAGGCGGGGTCAGATGGTCACCGAGGCCACGGGGCAGTTGATGTTGGTGACAGTCAAGTGCTGGTGGTTGTCAGTGGTGCCCTTGGGGAGGTCGTCCGCCCTGCAGAGGATCTTGGAAATGATCTTGCGGAAGGTGTAGCGGAAGTCCCTGATCCGGTAGGCGTAGATGATGGGATTGATGACGGAGTTGGCGTGGGAGAGGGTGATGGCCACGTACATCACCCACTCGGGCTTGGATTTGGAGAAGTCCTCGTGGAAGTGCGTGATGCAGTTCAGGATGTGCAGGGGCAGCCAGCAGAAGGCAAAAAGCCCCACAATGATGGCCAGAGACTTGGCCGCGTGCACCTCCTTCTGCAGCGTGGTCCTGGAGTTGCCCATCAGCTCGATCTGGTGCAGCTGCTTGCAGGCCACCATGAATATCTTGATGTAGATGCCCAGCATGATGACGAGTGGCAGCAGCACGCAGCCGAAGAAGTTGAAGTACACCATGTAGCTCATCGTGACCACGTTCTCGAAGAGGCAGGAGATGAAGCAGCCGTGGTGCCCCGACCCCGGGCCAGCCCCTGTCTCGTTGGTGGCGTTGGGACAACCGCTCATGGCTTTATTCCAGCCCATAAGTGGAGTCAGTCCAATTCCGAAGGACAGGAGCCACAGCACGGCGATGAGTCCTCTCGCCCTCTTGCCAGTCACCAGGCTGTTATACCTGCAGCACCCAGAGCAAAACCAGGTCAGGGACATTAAATAAATGAGCACTGGTGACTTCCCTGCTGTTAAAGTCATCAGCACTGTGGCTAATGAGACAAAAGCCCCACCCACACTCACACAGGAGCTTCACCTCTGTTATCACCCGAGGGGTAAAATACCTCACCTGTGCTCTCCACCTCCACAGAGTGATTTGGGGGATTGACTCATTTACTATTCCTGAGAGGCACCAGGCGCTGCCCCAGCCCACAAACAGCCTTCAATAGGAGGGAAAGGACTTGGAGTCTTAAAAAAGACTTTATCATTGCATGAGCCTAAACCACCAACTGCCAGGAGGGCACGAACAGGGGAAGGTTCCCATGGTAAATGATGTCCTCTCCTGCCCTAGGCAGCCACTGCTTGCACGCCAGGACACGCTGCTGGGCTGCACCAACATCTGGGCTGTCCTCGTCCAGCTGAGGCAATGCTGGTGCTCAAATCTGCACTGCAGTACCACAAGTGCTGTGGAAAAGCTCTGCTGTGGCCCAGGGACAAGTTGCTGCAGTGCTGAGGGGTGCAGTCATGCACTGCCCCACACCTTCCCTAACCCCACACATGTCCTCATGGCCCCTCCAGCCCCCAAGATGCTCAGAGACACAGAGCTGGAACCTAAAGCAGCAAAAGTCAAGCTGGTTTGGGTGCAACCAGAGCAGATGCCAACATCAAAGCGTCAGTGGGATCACTCTTTGGAGATGGGAAGGAGCAGCGACTGCCAGAAAGACAACAGGAGAAACCCATTCCTGTCCCTGCACAGCCAGTCAGCGTCTGCTGGCTCACACACGTCCCCTCCTTCCCACACCCTTCTCTCAGTGCTTGTTTACTCTGGCTTGGCTACCCTGCTCCTCCTTTCCTAAGAACGTTTGTTCTGATTTTCTTCCGGCCCGTGAGGCAGGGGAGGGTTTTATTCCCACAGAACCGCAGCTGTGCCTGTGAATCACAACTGCTCCGTGTGAGCCGAGCATCCCGCTCCTCCCGAGCACACAGAGACAGCAGGGCAAGAGGGGGCTCTGCCAGCACAGACCAGGAGGCACTGAGGGGCTGGGGGAGCCCTTGACTCCTTCTTCAGGCACAGGCAGGGCTGGCTGGGAGGATGCAGGAGCAGCAGCCGTGTTTGGGCGCTGCTGGATTGTGGACACGCTCCATGGGTGGGTGTCTAAAGGGCAGGTCCAGCCACTGAGGGGCTTCTCCTGCACTTTTTTCTCATTATTACAAAGTTTCACTACTTCAGAAGATGAGAAGCTATCAGATAGGGCATCAGTGGGGCCAAGCCTGTTGCTTTTATACCCCGTGTTAAGTTTTCAGAAACTGGAGCTGGTTTGGGGTTGTGGGGCCTGAAAACATTAAGACTTGATTTGGAGCAGCTTCCCAGAAATCCAGTCTCTTGGCAAAGCCTGAGTCTCGAGCTGCAATGTTGGCCAGGCTCAGTCAGTGCTGTAGAGGCACCAGGAGCTGCTGCTGACCTGCAGCTCTGCACGTGGGAAGGGAAAACTGCGGCTCCTTGGCTCGTCTAAGCCATGCTTAGTTGATCTCTTCCGTTGCTCCTCTGCTCCACCCCAAAAACTATTGTAGTGAGACTGGAAAATGTGAAAGGACCGTTGCTCAGAAACAGAAACTCCAGGGTTTTGTGTTTGGGGAACAGAAGGGAAGCCTCGGTGTGCCATGCTGAGGTCGGTGTCCACCGCATCACTCCAGCCTGGGGACGTTCAGTGCTGCCTCTTCCTGACAACACATGACCCCAAATAAGGCTTCTTCCATCCGCTCTGCTCCTGAACTCTCCTGCAAGGATGAGTTGGTTTGAAGGTTTACAAAACCAGTTAAGTGGGCACTTAGTTTTTCAGTGGCTCTAAGGGTGGCCTGTTTATTTTAGTGCCGCTCGCTCTTCCCGGTACACACAGCAGAGTCACAGTCACGATCAAGCAGGGGGTCCTCTGTGACAGGATGTAAAAATATGCTGGGCTCCCAGACTGCAGGAGCCAGAGCTGAGCAGTGAGGAGGGCTGGAGGCCTGTCAGCACAGGGCAGAGATGGTGTTCACCTCGGTGGAGATAACTCCCAGTGAACAACTGCTCTCCTCACATTAGCTCTTTATTTGCATTGCAAATCCCTCCCAGCATCTTTCCATTCAGCTGATGGCAGGTACTGCTGTGGCCTCCCAGAAGGGTCTGTGCCAAGCCCTGGTGGCTGAGCTGCCAGCCAGAAGAGGCCAAGGTGGGCATAGCCTGATGTTCTAGAATTGTTCATTAGTCACCTTGTTATTATTACCTAAATACACTTATTTGGTGGGACACTGCCTGTATTGCCCTAAGTGAACAGAGATTAAGCCTGTGCTCAAAATAAAGTGCATGACTGTCACCAGATCCAGGTATGAAGAGTCTCATAAGCCACACAACACAGGAACCCCATCATAAACCTTCATCAGCAATGGGCAGGAGCTGTGAGACAGCTGAGCTGGGACAGCTCTTCCCTAAGCACTATAAACACAGTCAGACAGTGAGGAATGGATTTTCACACCTCTGAATGCTCCAGCAAACCCCTCCTTCATTCTCTTTCAGCCTTAATATTATTATGTAAAAAACTACTAAAGTAAATTTGCTCACCTAAGTCTGCTCAACTAATGTATAACAAATATTGAATCACCTCTGTGTTTCTGCCCAGAGGCATCAAATGCTGCTTTAATGTAAATAACAGCTGAATATTTTAAAATGATTTATTGAGATTAAATAACCTGGCAATGCATTAGTTCCTTTTACACCTCCAGGCAAAGCCTCTTTACTGGCTTAATCACCACGAAGGTGCTAATTACGTTCTTGTGACAGGAAGAACTGTGCATTGGCCACCAGTGTCACAGGCACAGGAGCCTGGGCTGCAGCAGGTCAAGTACTTTCAAGAGAGTTCAGCTGCTTTTACAATATCCACTGGTGTCACTGTGGGCAGCTGGGTCTGTCCACACTGTGTCCTCCCAGCAAAGGCTTCAGCCAGGGCTCCACTGCCCTGCCAGTGAGGCTGGAGGAGGTGACCCCTGGGCTGGAGATGGGAGAGCATCACAGCAACCACCAAAAGGCCCAAGCTGTCTGCTGGGAATGCTCACTGCGTTCTCTGCTCAGTAGGATGGTGAGGGGTTTGGGGTTTTTTTTTTTCCAGCAGGTCTCATTGCATTTCTACTGCTCTGTATTGGGGCTGGAGGCCAGCCCAGTCACCCAGGAGGGCTTTGCTAAGCCCAGCTGGCACAGGGCAGGATGCAGTGCCAGCCCAGCCTCTCTGCTGGGCAGGAGTTTGGCTCCCAAAGGCAGGAACTGAGTCATGTCCTGCACGTCCCCAGCATCTCCACACCAGCCCTGCAGTCACCCCGGGGAGGTCACCCAGGCAGAGGCCCTGCTGCCCCTGAGCTCCCTCAAGCACCAGCCAAGGAGGAGTTCAGCATTTGGGGTGATGGACTGGGGGCAGAAAGCAGCAACAGCCTGGAATGGGACTGTTATTCCCACATTATTTATCTCAGAGAGCAGGAATGGGGGACCATCCTGCCTGTCCACAGAAGGGTGAACGGTTCAGAGCATTGTGGTGCCACACAGCCACTCTCCTGTCCATCCTTGTCCCTGTGCCCCAGCCGGAGCAGGAGCTGCTGAGCTGCTCAAGGACTTTGGGCTGGTTCTCCTGCTGCCAAACCCCAGGGCAGGATCAGCCTCCAGTGAGCAATTTCAGAGCTTAAACTCCCAACTCACACACGGCTTGTGCTGAGGCCACGTTCCATGGGATGGGTGGGGAGACACGGCTGTGAGGGCTGTGCCAGGGATGCTGCAGCGGGTTCAGGTCCCCCCTGCACTCCCAGTGCCCAGAGCTGTGGAGGGAGCCCTGGGACTGGTGCTCCCACTGCTCTCCCTGCCTCTGGACACCGGGAGGTGAGCAGATGGAGTTGGCAGGACTCAGACCCCGCAGGTGCTCTGATACGATCAGTGACAATTTATATACTTCTATTTTAAGTGTGAAGGGAAATACACAGACACCTCCATTCAAACGGGGTGAGAGCAGCTCGGCTGCCAAGCATTGTGTCCTTGTCACCTCCTCGCAGCTGTACTTTGCATCTTGCTCCTTTTTTTTTTTTTTTTTTCTTTTCTTTTTTGAGCTATAACAGCACAAAATAAGCTGTGCTCTGCTCCGTGCACAGCCACGGAACGGAGATCACACACCAGCTGAAATCTGCTGGCAGGACGTTTCAAATGATTCATGAATTGCACCTTGGAGAGGAGGGGGGGGTGGGGAGAAAGGAAAGAAAAAGCAAAAGCTGTGGAAGGAGTTGGCGGCGAGAGATGCGATCAGCGGTTACGGTATCAGCCCAGGAAGCAGGACATCTGTGCCTGTCCCGGCGCAGACAAATCACTTCCTCCCGCATCTGTCCCTATTGTGGCAGGGACAGCGGCAGCACTGCCGGCCTTCCTCCGGGATGGGGACTGTCACCACCCCGGCCCAGGTGAGCACACAGGGCTCCGTGGAGGGGCAGGGGCAGCGCTTGGGGACAGGACAGAATAAAACAAAACCCGGCTGTGCTTCGCACTCAGCGCTGGTGATGCCTTTTAGGATGAGCAGGGGGTGTGGAGGGGTACCCGTGTGCCCCAGACTGGCCCTTACAGATCCTACAGCCTGCGAGCCTGGACTATCGAACACCTGCGGGTTCAAAACCCTCTCAGCGAGGGATCCACAGCCAAGTGCTTATCCCTCCGTGAACGCTCCTTCCCGGGGTGGGGACACAGCAGCTCCAAACTCATCCCCGCTCATCCCACAGCCCCCTCAGCCCAGCTTGGCCCCCCAGCCCTGCCACGGCCGGTACCGCGGCGAGGGAACAGCCACAGGGATTGCAGGAGCAGGGATGCGGGAAGGAGGACCACGGGAGAGCCAAAGCGCGCTGCGAGCGGCACTCGGCTGGGTAATGTGGAGGATTAATCAGGGGAAACGCAGCTCAGGCTGCTGC